GTATATATATATATATATATATATATATATATATACACACACATACAAACATATTCTACTGGTTTGTATAATTACTATAATTATTCTAAGTGTGGAATAATTAAGAATTTTTGATGTTTTTAAAGACCACTCTACTGCTCACCAAGTCTTCATTTATTTGATCAAAATACAGCAAAAACAGTAATATTATGAAATATTATTACAATTTCAAATAACTGTTTTATATTTGAATATATAGTAAAATGCAATTTATTTCTGTGATCAAATGAATTTTCAGTATCATTATTCCAGTCTTTAGTGTCACAACATGATCCTTCAGAAATCACTCTAATATGCTGATTAATATGCTGTTAAAGAAACATTACTGATTATTATCAATTTTAAAAACACTTTACTATATTTATACAGAAACAATGATATATTACTATTGAAATGTTTGGGGTGTGTATTAAAAAACAAAATGCTTTTATTCAGCAAGGATGCATTAAATTAATCAAAAGTGACAGTAAAAACATTTATAATGTTACAAAGGATTCTATTTCAAATAAATGCTGTTCTTATGAATGTTCTATTCATCAAAGAATTCAGAAAAATAAAAAACAAATTCCACAAAATATTAAGCAGCAATAATAACTGATGACCAATAATAACTGAGCAGCAAATTAGCATATTAGAATGATTTCTGATTCAGGATAATGTGACACTGAAGACTGGAGTAATGATGCTGAAAATTCAGCTTTGATCACAGGAATAAATTACATTTTAATATACATTCAAATAGAAAATAGTTATTTCAAACTGTAATAATATTTCACAGTTTTACTGTTTTTAAATTTATTTTTGATCAAATAAATGCAGCATGTGCATATACATATATGTATAAATGTAATGAATTATTATGTATAAGTATACACATAGTAGTTCATTACACCTGTCAAATTTGTAAAAGCTTCTATACTTCACAGTATTTTTAAATATAAGGCAAACACCAGTCTTCTTCGTTTCTTGATTTGATTAAATCACATACATTATTGTTAATTATTATAGAAGGTACTTTAGTAATTTATTCTACCTCTGAATTAGTATAAGTACCTCTATGATTCCTAAGAACGCGTGAGGTGTGCTTAATATTACAATACGAGGAAATCAGTGCTCCTTGTAAACACTTCAAGGGAAAACCATGGCCTGGACTGAAAGCAGAACGGCTGTGATGTGTCACCTGAGGAGCGCTGGTGGCCACCAGGAAGGCGTTGGTCCTGCCGGGATGGTCGTAGTCATGCATGGCGGCTGCTACGTAGAGCGCCATCAGCTCCAGAGCGGGGATGAGGCCCGACAGACAGCCGTGACCCTCCTCCTCTGCAGGATACGTCCTGGACATCAGGTACCTTGTGTGGCCGAGAGCGAGTCCACCGTCAGAGTCTAAACACAGACAGAGCCATTAACAATCTTTATATGCCTTCAAACACTGATGCAGCATTATATTTTGTTTATCTTTTTTTTGTTTTGTTTATTTTGTTTGTTTGAACCTACACTGTAAGAATTGATTTCAAATTGAGTATGTTTTACAATAAAATGCTATTTCAGTTCACATTTAATTTAATGTAATTGTTTGTAAAATTTATCTGAGTGAAAATTGTTTCTATGCCAATGTTTTTAATGTAAACCACTCATAATTTAGTTTTCATAATCATCTCTCTTACAATTAAATACTGAAATAAATTTGCCATATGATCTACTTTACTGAATAATGACAAAGAAATGGCAAGTAACATATTGAATTAAATGTTAAATTTTGAAGTAGAAAGACTGAAATGGTATTTCTTTTTAATTGTATTCCAATAATCTTTATTTACTTCAAAAAACTTTAAAAAATCAATCAATCAATAAATAAATAAATAAAAATTTGCAGTGTACATATAAATGAGCACTGATATATGCATATGAAAAGAAAACTGCAGATTAGTTCACACTTTATAATAGGTATTCATCATAAATAGTTATATTATTGTTATTCATTTAAAATTGTTTTAGTAATTCGACAAAAACTACAAACAAATTACAAAAACAAATATATAAAAAGCTTTTTATTTCATCTAGTTGGCAAGGCAGCACTTCTCAACTTATAGTAAAATATCTAAAATTAAAATAAAAGACAAAAACACAAAATTACTTAAACTTTACATAAAATTGAAATGACAACATAAATATACAAACTGATTTAAATATGAATAAAAACTATAATAACATCTCAATGATACTGAAATAACACTGATGCCTCACAGGACCATAGTGTTACATATATAAACAGAGAACATATAAACATATAAAATACACTTATCTAGTCTATATAAAAAGTAGTAATCAAACTAAATCTATACTTTAGAATTACAGGCATGAAGTGATTTCTATTGTAACGTATCCAGACAGTGATGAAGTGTGATTCTTACCCGAGTCACTCAGTGATGTCAGTGTAGGTAAACCAGGCACAGGCTGGGTCGTGAGGTACCAAACCGCATGGAGGACGTCTGTGGCATGAATCCTGTTGTGATCTGTGGAGGAAGACGAGATTTAATACGGTAAACTACCACTAGAGGGAGATACAACACACCACAAAGAAGCAGAAGTGATGATTTAGGGCAATTTATTCCTCTGGAGGTGAAGCTGCCTGCGCACAGCATCTGTTGTACATCATCAGTTATTTCACTGTTAACATATTTCTGTACACATGTCTCCTGCAGCACGAGGACTCACATGGGATGTCCCTGTATCCGTTCTCCAGAGCGTGGAAATAGTTCATGAACTCCCTCACCGGAATCCTGAACGTCTCGAAGAGTCCCGTATCCGCAAACAACCGGTAAGACACCTAACCCACAGAGAAAAGAGTTAAACCTCTCAACCATGCTAGAAATTAAACAAAACCGTAATGCTACGGTTTCTCAAATGGACACATGGTTTTTATATACATGCAAATACTTATTCTTATGTTCAAATATTCATTGTGTTTGTCATGTTTGCATATTTAACGATTTTTGTTATGTTATGCAAAATTTTCAACTATTGAGAATGCACACTATCCAATGAAACTCATTTTTATTATTTAATAAAATGTAATATAAAATAAAATGAATTAAAAAATATACTACAAAATAGAAAACATGCACTAATGAACAACTATTTTACACGTGTGTATTCAATAATATTTACTAAACATTTAATATAATAAAAATATAAATACAAAACAAAAAAAGGTGCTCTATGCACTAGCACTTTATTTATTGTTTAATAAAATGTATTGTTTAATCATTATCATTCAATCTTCCTGGCCTTAACATTTAGACATAAAAACAATGCACAAAAAGTACCAAAAAGTTTTAATAAATTTAATAAACATGTACTATCCAATGACACTAATTTTTTCTATGAAATAAAACATATTCAAACATACAAACATATAATGCAAAAAAATAAAAAAATAAAATAAAACATTAGAAAATGAATTATTGGACAATTCTTTTAAGTTTGTTTATTCAATAATATTTACTAAAAAGTTTATATAATAAAATATATTAAACATATAATTGTAAAAATAGAAAATGTGCTCAATGTACTGACACCGTGTTATTGTTTAATAAAATGTGATATTTAATCATTGTCATTTAATCATCTTGGCCTCAAGTAAAAAAAATAACAAATAAATAAACATACACTTTCCACTGAGACTCATTTTTATTATTTAATCATAATGGTCAAATGTAATCACCCTGGCCTCACTGGTGTCAGATCGTACATGTGTTGTTGAGAGAAGTTTGATTTGTTGATCAGTGTGTGTGTACTCTTGATCTCCACTAGATGTCAGTGTGTCACCTGGCTGAGGATGCAGCCGCATCTGCCGTTGGTTTTCTCCACCAGACTGAAGATGGGGAAGTTCCAGTTGTTGATCTGACTCATGAGGGGCTCCAGGCCCTCCATCACCAGCGGCTCCGGGGCCAAGATGGGCTTATCCTGCGGAGGAAATGATTTCAGATCACAGACGGTGCCACCTTACACCAAAAAACCCACTAGACATAACTGGAATTACTACAAAATCAAGTGGCACATATGAAACTACTACAGACAGCAGTTAAAACAGCATATAACACAAAAAGAGTCTGGCATCAAACCACAGCGAAAACAAATCAAATGCTCAGTGATTAGTTTTGATGACTATTTGATGCCAGTTTAGCTTTACTGGAACAAACAACCCTGAGAATTGCACGTAACAAAGCTATTGCCGTATTTTTGTGCATTATATTTTCTGCAGATTGCATGCATATACTGCATATTTTATGCAACACTTTATACTGTGTATTTTTACTGCTTGTAGGTCCTCTAACACTCACCAGAAAAATGAGATGAAAATACAACATATAACAATAAAAAATATGCACTGTACACTGACAATCATTTTTATTATTTAACAAAATGTATTATTTAATCATAATGGTCAAATTTCAGCCATTTAATTATCCAGGCCTCAACATTTAGACATACAAATGCATAAAAAGTAAAAAAAACAAAAACATAATAATGCAAAACATAATGATATCTAATAATATCTAATAGTCTGGCTGATATAATAACAATCAAAGAACTGTTTTATATTTGAATAAATAGTCAAATGTAATTTATTTCTGTGATCAAATGAATTTTCAGCATCATTATTATACATTTATACAACTTATATTTAACAAATAAAAAGTACACAAAGTTGCTAAATTTAAATAATAATCTTTTTACACGTTTATTCAATAAACTTTACTAAAAAATGTAATTATATAATAAACAAATATAAAATATAATTAAAATTAAATATAATATATAACAAATATAATAAAAAAATAGAAAATATGTTCTATGTACTTTTATTGTTTAATAAAATACATTTAATCATTAACATTTAATAATCCTGGCCTCAAAATTACATAAAAACAATGCATAAAAAGTATTTAAGCATAAAAAGATTTAAATAAAAAAAAATATATATATAAAAATTCACTATCCACTGTTACTCAATTTTATAGTTTAATAAAATGTATTGTTTAATCATTATCATTTCATAAAAAAAAAAAAAAAAACATAAAAATACAAAAAATGTTGACAGCAATTTCTAGCAGGGAGGCCAATATACTAAAGCATATACAAAAAAAATTAAATTAAAAAATGTAAAAAAATTAAAAGAAAGTTGCAAAATTTTAACGAACAATTATTTTATATTATTTTACAGTGTTTAGTTTTGATGACAATTTGATGACAGTTTATTTAACTGGATGAAATATACCCTGAGAATTGCACATTAACTCTTATTTATTTACTATGCTATTGCAGTATTTTTGTGCATTATACGTTTTATGCATATTATATGCATACTGCATATTTTATGCAACTCTTCATACTGTGTATTTTTACTGCTTGTAGCCATGCAACACTGAACAGAATAAAAATCTACCTGCCTGAACTAAATTGCAGTGATAAAAAATCAATTTGTGGTGTTTACTGTACCTCCGGTGGGATGAGAGCGGTCAGTGGGAACGTCCCGCAGGCTTTCCTGTGACCTTCTCTGTCTTCGTTCTGTGCAAAGTTGCTGCTGTCACTGTGGTTGGTCTCATAGGTGCTGTCATAGTCTGACGACATTATCAGCGGCTCGTCTGCAAGGTTATTGAAAAACCTGATCACACCTCTCGTCATATTTCACGTTGGAGCAGACCGACAGCTCTGAAAGACTCGTAAAGACACCAATTACATATGAATTCAGATTCAATCCAGGATCCAGCTGTAATATCGCAGATCACAACAGCAAAATGGATCGTAAGTGAAATGCATCTAAATGCTAATTCAGCGGCGGTACCTGGCTGTTGGGTTCGGTCTCCTGCGTCTATGGATCCGTCCCCGTGTCTCAGTTTACTGTTCGGTCTTCCACAGCTACAGCACACACAATAATCATACAGAAACACAGGAAAATAAACATTCCAAAAGCTCATCAAATTTCATCATTTTCACAAGAGAATCAAGTCCTTCTTTCTTTCTTTCCTTCTTGTTTTATTAAAGGTTGTTTTTTTGCATTTATTTACTTTTGTGTTGCAGTTTAACAACAACAACAAGAAAAACTGGTTTTATTGTGGATGATTTATCAGTTAATGTTATTCCAAATAAATTCACAATGAATAAAACAGTAAATTAAAATATATCAAATATATCAATTTGCATATATTTAATTATATTGCATAATCCATTATTTATTTATTTATTTATTTTATACGGTTTTTGATGTTGTTTTGCTTTTGTGTTGCATTTTAACAACAACAACAACAACAACAACAATTTACTTTTTCAGTACATGTTCCTGGTCTTACAGTGCATGATTTGTCACGATTTATTCCAAATCAATTAAAATAAACAAACAAACAAATAAATAAAATTGAATAATTTTCACATTCTTATTTATGTAATGTTTTATTAAATGTTTTCTTGGCCTTTATTCGTTTTTTGGGTTGCATTTTAACAACAACAACAACAACAATTAATAATATAATATAATATAATATAATATAATATATAACAATATTTAATATTTTATTAAAGTTTTGTTTTTTAATTTAATTGAATCAATTCCCAATGATTAAAATCAACTCACATACTACTTTTTTCCCCCTCACAGAATATCCTGCTTCACTCAGAAATAAGCCACATAATGACAGAAAAATGTGTTGCGAATGCCATTTCATGTTGACTTTAGGAACACTCCTTTAAGAACAAGAAAAAGCCACTATCCATCATCGCAGGCACTGGAATCTGTTCATTATGCTTCATGTTTTTATGCTTTATGAGTTAGGAAAGCCAGGAAACGGCTGATGCGTGCATACTGTATGCATTTCATGATTGCATATTTTAATATTTTGCATTGAAATTGAGAGGCGTCCTCTCTGGGTGACTAACCCCTGCTGATGTGTGCTGTGTGTGTGTGTCGCTGTTGTTTAGTTGAGCTCTCTGAAATTGCGGGCCAGACAGAACCTAATCAAGCTGTTCCTCTGTGCCCAGCGTTCATTACGGGCCAAGGGAAAGGTGACCTTGTCCCATCGCCAGGACATTAGTGATCACTGTGAGTAAAACCGATAGAGAGAGAGAGAGAGAGAGAGAGAGAGAGAGAGAGAGGGATGGCAGATCTGACCGTGTACGTCCATCTGTTGATATTTAGACACAATGTTGGGTATTTTTCACAGTTAATGATCAGTGGTTGTCCAGTAACCACATAACGGCCTGAAGCTGCAGTCCGCTCTTGTACTACATGCAGGGCCACAGGATACGCTCAGATCTTTGGAAACAGCGACCAGAGCGATAAATTAGGCACAAAATTAATATGAACTCGCTGTCCGCTCTTAAAATTACTCATTAGTAGTCCTGCATGGAATCCAAACAAGCTAAATTCCTCAAAAAGACTTGTTAAGTGAAAAAAATCGACACATTTCCTGGTACATTAAGGATGACTTATGCAACAGCGGTCGATTATATTGTTTGGGTAACTCTTTAATCAAAGGCTGGGCTTTACAACTGGTGTGGTGTGTTCTCTGCTGTAAAACGACATGACATGACAGTTGCACATATTTAAAGATAAATGAAGTGACTATAACTAGACGAGTATAACAGCAGTTCTGAATTAAATTAAAGCAAGAGTTGTTATTAAAAACAGATATGATATCAAGTATAAAAATTGCTGTAAGAGATTTAAACAAAAATAGATATGAAAATTAATATCTAAAATATGTGAATTACATTAAGAAAATAAGAAATTATTAATTTGAGTTTTGTGGGTGTTACACCTGCATGTTTGTTTATTAAATATTTTGGATAGTATAAAAATAAAAAAGTTTATTTTAAATAAACTGATGCAGGAGTTTTTTGATAGATATATCTAATAGATATGACTATTTCAATTATGAGAATTAAATTATTTATATGCAGATTTAAACAAAAATAGATATGAAAATTAATATCTAAAATATGTGAATTACATTAAGAAATTAAGAAATTATTAATTATAGTTTTGTGGGTGCTACACCTTCATGTTTGTTTATTAAATATTTTGGGTAATGTAATAAAAATATTGTTTTTTTTTAAACTGCAGCAAGATTTAAAAAAAAGAAACAGATATGAAAATTAATATTTCAAGTATGAGAATTAAATTATTTATATGCAAATGTTAAATTATAGTTTTGTGGGTGCTACACCTGTATGTTTGTTTATTAAATATTTTGAGTAATGTAATAAAATATTTTTGAAAAACCACAAGATTTTTTTTAAATAAACAGAGATATGAAAATTAATATTTCAAGTATGAAAATGTAATAATTTACATGCAAATATGAAATTATAGTTTTGTGGGTGCTACACCTGCAGGTCTATTAAATATCTTGGATTATATAACAAAAGTTCATTTAAACTAAATTGCCAAGAGAGTTTTTAACAAAAATAGATATGGAAATGAATATTTCTAATATGAGAATTAACTTCTTAATAAACAAATATGAAATTACAGATTTAAGTTCTGTGGACGCTACACCTGCATGTTTATTAAATATTTTGAATATTATAATAAAATTCATTTGAAATATATTGCCATGAGTGTTTTTAACAAACACAGATATGAAAATGAATATTTAAAGTATGAAAATTAAATGAATGTGCAAATATGAAATTATAGATTATAGAGTTCTGTGGATGATCCAATATTTTGGAAGATATAATAAAAATTACATAATAAATTACAGGAAAAATGGATATGAAATAACTATTTAAATCATAAGAAGCAGATGATTAATATGCAAGCATAAAATGACAGAGTAAAAGTTCTGTGGGCGCAACACCTGCATGTTAATTTTTTAAATATTAGTGCTGGGCAACGATTAATCACGATTAATCACATCCAAAATAAAAGTTTTTGTGTACGTAATATTCTTATGTACTGTGTATATTTATTATGTATATATAAATACACACACATGCATGTACATATTTAAGAAAAATATGTTATGTTTATATATTAAATATATTTATATATATAAATGATATGAATATAAATATATACATGTAAATATTTTCTTAATATATATTGTATGTGTGTTTCTTTATATATAAATAATAAATATACACAGCACACACACATATAATATGTACACAAAAAGTTTTATTTTGGATGCGATTAATCGCGATTAATAGTTGCTCAGCACTATTAAATATTTTTGGATAATTTAACAGTGCTTTCGGATGCCAATACAACTGCAGTACTCTCAAGCTCTGCTTAAAACTGAATGAATTTCCCTAAAAAATCAGTGCACACGTGTGAAGCTGAGCAGAATGGTGGAGTTTTACCTGCTACAAAGTGGAGGTGGCACCCATTGTGAGGTGCTGGAGCTGGGGGAGCTCTGACTGTGGGTTAAGGCTTTGTGGGGGCTCTGTGGTGGTGGAAGCTCAGCGTCAGGCAGCTCCACTGAAGGACTTTTGTTGGTGGGGCTGGTGAGCGGAGTGCCCTGGACTGGAGGGGAGTGGCAGGGCGAAGCCAGAGGTGAGATGTTGGAAGAAGGGTAACCTGTCAGAGAGCAGAGGAATCACACTGGCACTGTCAGAGCCCATTTATCTCCTTTCCCTCCACACACACACAGCGCTGTACCTCTTCGGCTCTTGCTATAGATGTGGTTGGTGGTGGAGGAGGCAGCGTATGAAGCGGACATGGACCTGCTCTTGGAAAGGCTAAGCATAACAGAGTTGTTCCATGAATCACTGTTCACCAAACTGCAAAAGAGGAGAAAACGCATGATTTAGATATTAATGTTGTTTTTTTTTGCCAAAGAGATGTTGGTTTTGTTGTTTAGACTTCAGTATTTTAGCATATTTATATAGTTATATGTGTTGCCGTGCTGAGGTAATATATAGTGTATATATAGCTAATATTTTGAATTAGAATTAGATATATAGTTAATATTTTCCATTAGATTTAAATTTATTTTTTAATTTTTGTTTTCTTTTTTCTTTTTAGTCATTTTGCTGTGTTTTAGTTTTTTTTATATGTCTATATACTATACTATACTATAGTTTATCAAGTTTTGTTTTAATGTTTAGTTTTAGTTTATTTATAGTTATTTTAGCACTTAAAGATGAAAATACATGATTATTATTTTATGCTTCAAGCTGTTAAAATGTTTAATTTCTTAATGTCTACATGGATTTTATTTTGTTTAGTGTTTAGTTTTAGTCATTTTAGTGCTTCAAGAGGAAAACACATGGTTTTATATATATATATATATATATAAGCTTCAGCTCGGATCCACTGTTTCTCATCTTTCTCTTGAAAATATCCCATAGATTCCATATGGGCTTCAGGTCAGGCATGTTGGCCTGACCAATCAAGTACAGTAATATCATGGTCAGCAAAGCACTTGGAAGTGGTTTTGGCACTGTGGGCAGGTGCTAAGTCCTGCTGGAAAAGGAAATCAGCATCTCCATAAAGCTTGTCAGCAGATGAAAGCATAAAGTGCTACAAAATCTCCTGGTAGCATTGACTTTGGACTTGATAAAACACAATGGAACAACACGCAGACGTCACGGCACCGGTCATCCCTGTTGCTTGTGCACCTTTTCCTACCCAATTTCTTCCTTCTCGTCAACTTTGCATTTACTATGTTTGATACAGCACTCTGTGAACAGCCACCCCTTTCAAGTAATGAGCTTCTGTGAATTAACCTCTTTGTGGAGGGTGTCAATGATTCTCTTCAACCAGTGAAAAAAAAAAAAAACTTTTTCACGATATTCTAATTTTTCTTAGATGCACCTGTATATATATATATATATATATATATATATGTGTGTGTGTGTGTGTGTGTGTGTGTGCATTCTTTTTTCATATTTTGATCTACATTTCATTTAAACATTTTTTTTTATTTGAATGTGTTATTTTGTTATTATAATTTCGTTGTGTGTTTGTCTTTTTTATTTATAATTATTTTAGTACTTCAAGAGGAAAACACACACACACACACAAATATATATATATATATATGTGTGTGTGTGTATTCACACACATTTCATTTAATTTGTTTTATTTTTTTTTCATTTTAATGTTATTTTTAGTAATTTTGTTGTGTTTTTACTATCATTTTTTTTTATTTCTATATAGGTTTATCCAAGTTTTAGTGTTACGTTTTACTTTTAGTACTTCAACTTAACTTGTATTTTTCAGTTTAATTTCAGTTTAAGTAATTATTTTTTAAATTATTTATTTATTTTTGTTTTATTTTCAGTTAGCAATAACAACCCTGCTCCAGTGTTTATTTATCCCACTATCATTGTGTCCTCGATGAAGACACTTCACTTTAACTCAACACGGCATAACCTTTTTCCTCTCAAGAGGCGAACTTGTAAATGAGAAAGTTCACAATGCTCTTTTTCTGTGGTTAAAACAGTCCAAGTGGCTTATTTTTGGAGAGGAATTTAAACTTGAATTTTTCTGCCAACTTTAAAAAAGAAAGGGAGCGGAACAGGCCTCCTGCTGTGGGAACACTCTTCAGATATCCATTAAGACGCTGCGCAGGAGACCCGCCACTTTAAAACCAGCCTCAACATGGTAATGCAGGCAACCCTGTGACCCTCCAGTTTTCACCGGGGCTTTTATTTCGACAGGGCCCAAATGTAAACACAAGTCGGGCTCTCGAGTCTCCAGGAAGCCTCTTTAAACTCTCTGTCTACACAGTGCAGATGGCTATCTGGATATCAGTATTAATGGGCTGAACTTTAGCTGGTCTGTATAACTCGAGCTGAAATAAGAGATATAAAGGTGGAGAAATGCCCAAAGACGGACATTATAAAATTTGAATCATACATTGGGATGGAGTGAGTAAGATGGCGTGGAGGAGCTCTGGAAAGTTCAAGTGCTTGACAGCGATCCGCAACAGCTGTGCGAAACACTAACTGACGAGACAATGATGACAAACAAAACTAAATGAGGGCAAACGGATAAAAGTGCTGTCAGGTAAATCCTGAGAAACTCTCCGTGGACTCATATTTTCCGAACGTATGTATTGTTGCTTCAAAACACTTCATACGGCGAGCCGGGAAGTATTTGGACAAACGTGCAAATGTCATTGCATTAGATTACTAAATATCAAATCAATTTAGACTGCACAAGCGTACAAACAAAACATTTCATGAAAAAGGCTGTTTGTTACGTTTGACATAATAAAACAATACATAAAATGCTTCACAATGAAGCAAATGGACGCTTTTGTGTTTGTAAAGCATTTCTCTGCTAGGACACCTGTCTTCATATACATATATAGTGTATGCACTAAAAAAACGAAAACACCAAAGACACTGAACAAAAATGAAGGAAGATGGTGAAAAGATTCTGGGCTGGTCACCAAAAGTATGAAGAAACACATAAAGCTTGATGATATCACTGTATCAATCCTCTGCAGTGAATGGGTGCTGTCAGAATCAGAGTCTAAACAGCTGATAAAAACATCACAATAATCCACACCACTCCAGTCCAGCAATTGACATCTTGAGAAGCAAAAAGCTGTGTGTTTGTAAGAAACAAATACCACTTCCTCCAGTGAAAAAGTCCATCCCCTGTTGTCTCTCACATCAAAATCCAGCCACATATTTATATAGAGCTGGTTTGGACTGTTTTGCTTGCAAACAGCTCTTGATCTGTGCAGATTTCTCTCCTGATTCAGATGAGACGACTTTTCCAATGAAGAAAGCAATATTATGGATTATGGACTCATATTTTAGTCAGAAGCAACAGTTTGAAGTTAAAAACACCTTAATGAACATATAGACATAAAAATAAATATAAAATATTACAAATTGTCAAAAAATAAAATATAAAAAATTATTTAAACTGTAAAAATAATATCAGTAATAGTAATAATAATAATAATAATAATAATAGCATCCCAATTATGCTAAAATAACAGTAAATTATCAATATTTTAAATTTTGTGTGGATTATCCCTTTGAATTCAAAGTAATGCAATGCAGATTACAGTAGAACAGAAACCAAAGCAACTGTCAGTCAGTTTTCTCTTGCAGGTCAACTAGCGTCATGGAGAAACAATAGTTTGGAAAGAATTTTGCTGAGAACGTTTCAGCATGTTTGTCATCTGAATAACACATCTGGTTTAATGGCACATTTAATATATTTCAAAGATGTTTGGACTCTCATTCTGACGGCACCCATTCACTGCAGTGGACCCATTGGTGAACAAGTGATGGAATGTTACATTTCTCCAAATCTGATGAAGAAACAAACTCATCTACATCTTTGATGGCCTGAGGGTGAGAGCATTTCAGCAAATTTGCATTTTTGGGCGAACTATTCCTTTAAGTCATGTTCATTTGTAAGATAGTTTGATGAACTAAGTGACTAAATGTAAACACAGATTGTTCTGGATAAGAACAGGGTGTTTATTACCTGCTGGAAGGGCCATCGTGAGGTGCTTTGATGCTGGCACTGCGGTCCCGTCTGACTGGCCCGGGTTCGAGGGTGGGCAGGCCCGTGGCTGAGGTGGTGGTGGTCCACGTGGAAGAAATGCGTCTCAAAAGCCCTGGAGGCAAACTCCGCCTCAAACACTGTTATTTAAAGAGAACACACATCAAGTTTAGACTAAAACAATGTTGACAGTGGAGCAAAACACTTACAGTCACAAATTCTCCACTAAGGTCAGTTTTGAAGCTTGTCAAAAGTCACATCACCAATTATTGGTCAGGTTGGGTTACATCCATAGTGCCGTTCAGGGTTTTGTTCATCGATTTTCCCCATTCCTTTCATTTTCTATTGCCCCGAGGTTGTATTTTCTCACCCTTCCCTCTCCAGCGCGGACACTTCCCTCATCTCTCCCACTAAGACTTTAATCAAATTATCCCTACCCGACCTTGCGTCCAACTGAGGTGACACATACAGTACAAGCTGAAGCACATCCACACAGTACAATCAATCAATCAATCAGGCTAACTCTTGGAAAAAGTATACAGCTGGCTCAAAAATGAGACTAACTTAATCTTGCCCCTGTTTTCAAAAAAAAAAAAAAAAAAACATTCTGGTGTCATTTACTCACCCTCAGACAAAAGAAATGCACAGAGCTTTGAAACCTACATAAAAATTAATAAAACCTATATAGGCATATTTAAAATAAAAACAAAACACACTATAACAACTAAAACTTTAACTAAAATTAAAAGTAAATATAAATTATAAATATTTAAAAATAATATAAATAAATATAATTAAAATATAGAAATAAACATTCAAAATATTAATAAAAACTATATATATATATATATATATATATATAAATGCTAAATTTGTTACATTATTAAATTAATTAATAAAATGAATGAACAAAGTTATATAGAAATATTTTTTTAATTTAATAGAAATCACAAAAACAACTTTGAGAACTGCATTACCCTGAGAGTTAGGGCAGGGAAGAAACTCCTGACAGCAGCATGAATATTTTAGATGCAGAGCAGGGCTCCGGCCCACGTAGAGAAGCAGAGGGCACATCCGCGCGCCCCCGACCCTAATCTCCCAACCGCCCTGAGTGCATGCCCTGGGCATTCTGAGAGACCAGTGCCGTCCCATTACAGACATGTGCGGTGAGCGCCGGGGTCAGAAGTCACAAATCGCATGTGTATTTTTAACTCCGGGAAATTCTCATGCAACAATCTACAGCCACAAACATGAAAACATCTGCGTCTGATATTAATTCAGCCAGAGCGGCTGTCAGCTGGAGTTGGGAGGAAGATGTTTGAGTGGATGTAGCAGGCCTCATGTCTGGGAAGCTGCTCGGGACGTGCCGTGGCGCAGACAGACTGTCAGGGTTGCAGATGTTCAGCGCTCAGGCGTCTGCGAGCCAAGTCTCGTCTGATCAGGGTTCTGCGGTGTCCAGTTGAACCAGCTTCTCCAGCCGGTGTGACAGCTGGGAGCTTTGTTCCCTATCACAGTCTGAACTAACCAATATGAGGGAATCTAACAATTAAAAAATAAAAATTAAGCTTTTTTAGGATTATTAAGGTGCATTATGCTATCATTTTCTAAGCCCCAAATTCTTTACTACAGTAAAAATGATCACAATTTAAAAACTGTATGGTCTCAAGTGGTGTGCAAAAAAGTAAAAAAAAAAATAAAATATATTATTTAAATGATAAAGCAATTATACATCTTTTGTAGCATTTTTGTGCCGTTTTAAGTATTTTTTTAAATTATTTATTGTTAGGATTATTATTAATTTAAAAACATTAATTACTTTTACTGCATTAATGTGCTTAATTGTCCATCAACATTCAAATAAATAATTGTCAAGAACGATCAAGAACATGACTATATATTATATTATATTCAGTTAAAAAAACTAAGCTATTTTAGGATTATTAAGGTGCATTATGCAATTATTTTCTTAAAAAATTAAGGACATTTACCCTTCCGAATTGTTTAGCATAATGCAAAATTATCACAATTTAAAAACTGTATTGTCTTTACTAGAATGCAAAACAAACGAACAAAAAATATTATATATTATTTAATAAATAAAGCAATTAAACATCTTGGTAGTATTGTTTTGTGATGCCTTTATACTGGTTTAAAAGATTATTAATTTATTATTATTATTAAAATTAATCATAAAAATCCATTAAAAATAAATAAATAAATGCTCCTATAAAAAAGGCCTTGTTTTCTTTATGCAAAACATAATTACTTAATTTTTACCTTTAAATTTGGGATGTAGGACCCAGAGGTGGGGGACTCGAGTCACATGACTTGACTTGAGTCTGACTCGAGTCGCAAATGGAAAACACCGATAACGGCATTTACCTGTTGTCTGCAGCGTTGTGTTCTTTTCTCAGTGATAACTACAAGGAGATTTAGTCAGATTTTCACACACTTTCTATTGCGTAAAATGTGCATTTACATTCCATCTCCGTTATCATGAAACCTACTACACGGCACAACACACACACAACAAAAACAGCTCCGAACACGGCATCCTCCATTCATCGGTTGTTGATGTTTGTAAATGCCGCGAATAAAGATGTCGCTGTCGGCCACTTCAGAGTTCCTGCTGCCGGTGCGAATGCAACCAGGAAAACGGCCCGAGGGAAAAATTGGTTTTCTAGAAACAACCCTGCTGGCTAGTTCCTAGAACTATGCGGTGCGAAAGTGCCTAATATAATATAATATAATACTAAACTGGAAAAAAAACAAAAAAAACAAATACAGGCATAATAAGAACCACGAAGTTGTTTGTAAATAAGCAAATATACTAACTATAGTAATAAAATATATAAAGGACCACCACATTTTAAGTAAATAAATAAACACAGGTAAGTAAAGAAAATATAACTTCCTTTAAGTCACTAGAGTACCAAGTGAGCCCAGCTACGCCACTGATGTCCCCTCAAAAAAATAGGTGCATGATGCCTCTGGGTGGACAGGAGGTACAGAATGGTAATAGAGCAGCAGAAAAGACAGCGCAGAGGCAGACAGCGAATAAGACACAATGGAATCAGACAGGTAAGGGCTAGGTTAGTTTCTTGCGGATGTGAATATGTTCCGGCACATCTAGCCTAAGGCACGTCCTTCTGGAGGAGAGTGCGTTCTGTGCAGACTTACCATGATATAATGACGCTGCATTTCTGACTTCTCACTGGCCAGCTTGTCACATTCGAGCTTCAGACTGGAGAGAGAAAAGAAAGACTGGTCAATGAAAAAAAATGTAGACAGTAGACATATATTATGCAACAGAGGCCGGTTCAGAATGCAGTTCAGAATGCTTCAGTTTTTACAATTGCTTTACATTGTTTTAAAGATTTTTCTTTTGGCTTCTTCACATTCTATTCAGTAAATAGGGAGAGGAATTTATTGTTATAACCTGTTTATTTTAGGAAAACCATACAAAAATGTCTTTATTATGTATCACATCTATAGGCTCTGAAAACAGCAAATAAGGGTCACCGATTTTCAGAGGTGGGGGAATCAAGTCACATGACTTGACTCGAGTCGCAAATTTAAGGACTTTTGACTTGCTTGACTAAATAAAGAAAATGACTTGACTTGGACTTGAGATCCAGTGACTTGAGACTTGACTTGACTTGACCTTCATGACTTGGCAGGACTTGACTTTATAACAACTCTAATTACTATTATAAATCATTGCGACATAATTTGGTAAACAAAATGCAAGCCACTGAACCAGCGGCAGAAGTCGCAAATTTAAGGACTTGTGACTTGCTTGACTAAATAAAGAAAATGACTTGACTTGACTTGGACTTGAGATCCAGTGACTTGAGACTTGACGTGACTTGACCTTCATGACTCGGCAGGACTTGACTTTATAACAACTCTAATTATTATTATAAATCATTAGGACATAATTTGGTAAACAAAACGCAAGCCACTGAACTAGCGGCAGAAGTGATCCGAGTCTGCGCAGTTCATGACACTGCACGAGCACAGGAACACAGCGCACCAAAAACAGGGAGCAAGAGAATCTCCCGAGATGTTTGGATAAACACTTCGAAACTATATGCATTTACAAAGCCAGGACATCAGCACTTCAAAAAGGAAAGGTATGTAAGCTTGTTCGTTAGTTGAAGACAGCATTGGTCTTAAAATTCAGCTTAAATCTGTCATTAAATTAAAGTGATTATAAATGATTAATCTTGTGTTTGTAATTAACGACGTCAAACTTTAAATTCGCTGGCGTTTGCCTCTCAAAACAGTGCTTTAGTGTCAAGCATCCCTCTTTGTAAATCAATGTATGGAACTGTACCACGGAAACCACAGTTTTTTATCGATTAGTGATGTTTCTCTTGCACTCAAAATCCAAGATATGTTGTCAAAATGGCCCTAGTATGAGTTTTTATATTTATAACATATACGATTTTATATTAATACAATATTTAGTAATATTTTAAGCGCGGCTGCCATCAGTTCCGTTCAGCCCACAGCTAAAGAGTTACGCTCGTCTCTAAGCAACACATAGATATGTTGTCAAAATGGCCCTAGTATGAGTTTTTATATTTATAACATACGATATTTAGTAATATTTTAAGCGCGGCTGCCATCAGTTCCGTTCAGCCCACAGCTAAAGAGTTACGCTCGTCTCTAAGCAACACACTGAATACTGAACGAATCCAGGGATTTGAACGAATCGCTTGAGTGATTCAGTGGCCCAGTCTTGCTTGTTCATGAATGAATCAACTGTTTTGAATGAATCAGTTCAATGAACGCTTCTGTGATAAAGCAGGGATTTGCCATCACTTACTGGCGCCATTAATGTCATAGAGTAGGCCTATCTTTTTATTTCATATTTCTATATTCCATTTTTTTAAATTAATATTTTAAGTTCCAACGAAACAAACAGAAAACAGAAATGAAACAAAACAAAAAGCTTAGGCAGACCTTAAATGCACAGCTGTCAATTTAGTTCTTATTAAGATAAAATCAAAGAAATCGATAAGTTACAGGGGAAGATACATAAACATTAACAGCAATAGGCTTCTTGTTTTGAGCCATGACAATAGTTTTCAAGAACAATGTAGGCAATCATGCAAAGTGAAAGAAAAGGTCC